GAGCATCGACGGAATCACCGGCATTCCCCACCATTAAACCCTCTAAGGGTCTCTGGAATACAAGCACATGGTACTAAATATGCATGCACATGGTTTACCCTTTTTAAGTTATGAGTTGTTCATTATGCTTTTAGTTTCTTTAAATTATTTTTATTATTTTAAATTTTAATTTGCTTTAAACTGCTTAACTTCAATTTATTTGTAGACTACCCCAAGATCCATGAAAGAGGGTAGGATAAAAATACTTTCTCTATCCATTTCACAATATTCTCTCATATAACTCATTAACACATGCACACAGTCGTCTACCGTTGTAATAGAACAGTCTTCTCCCTTCTCTGTCTTTCAGTCATTAGACCAAATATGCCAACGAGTTGTATTTTGGTTTGTTTGTTTTTAATTTCTGGCTATCAGATATTCTGTAATATCCATAATATAATAACATTCCATAATATCTCAAAAACTGAAAGGATGTATAAGAAGATCATGTTTCAGTATACAAATGCTAGTCTAAAGCCAATAGCTATAGAATTTCTAAATTCTATACCCTACATTTCCTTAGGGCTTTTTTTTTTCTTTCTTTCATGGGGTTTATGCAGTGTTGGACTCCTGTTGGCAGAACCATTGTTTTTTATATCTTGTGCTTTTGATTTGATACCTCATTAATCTCTTCAGGATCATATCAAGTGTTCTAACAGATTATCCAAAGTTGGCTTTGACTTTTCAAATAAACACAGAGATATGGCAGAAGGTAATGATGGAATTTGTATGGTTAGGAACACATCCAAGTGTATCTGCAGACATTCTACAACAAACCATTAATAAACTGAGTATTCATCTTGTGCAGTATAATCATCTATAAATGTGAAGCTAGCTTTATTTAAATCTGTTACGGTAGGTGCTACTGAAATGGCTGTTGTGTTATTGAATGGATAAAAATGCAACAGTTCTGTGTGAATTATACTGGCAAATTTTAGGGAACAATTATTTTCGTGTGTAAAGAGAGACAACAACGTAACTAACCTGGAAGTGATGATTATCCTAATTTTGTAGGAAAGACAGGATAAAAATAAGTTAACAATAATACTGACCAAAATTTGCATTGTTTTCATTGAATTGACTGCTGAATGTATAAGTGTTAAAGAAAAATAAACATTACTTAAGAAAAGATAACATTTCATAAGGCAAAAAATTCCATGAGTGAAACTCAGGTCCCATTAGGTACATATATGCAAATGCAAAATAGGAAGCTGCCTTATACTGAGTCAATGAGTTAGCTGTGCTACTCAGGCATGATAAGTAGTTTTATCATCATCATCAATAGATCTTGGAGCAAGAAGCACCATAAAGCTCCATCAAAAGTGACAAAGGTAGCTGTCCTCTCTCACCTTCCAAACCCCAACTTTCAACCAAAGCTGTTCTCTCCCAATATGGCTTTTTCATTGCCAATGGAGACAGAGATTGGGCAGCAACAAGAAATAGGCTAACCATACCTCCACAAGCGAAGCAAGAGCTGTGTTCAGAGAGGATGGCTGTGGCTGGGATTTTTAAGGTGAGAAGAGTACAGGTTTCTTCATCCCATGCGACAGAGCATGGTATCCCTCATCCGGAATTAATCGAGAATACTCCAAAAACGAAAACTTTTTTCATGGATGGCTGAGATATTGACATTTTTGTTTTTTCTGATGGTTCAATGTACACAAGCTTTGTTTCATATACAAATGTATTTAAAATATTATATAAAATTGCCTTCAGGCTATGTGTATAAGGTGTATATGAAATGTAAATATTGCAGATATAACTCTTGCCTTGCCAAATGAAATTTTGGGAAATGGGATAAAGAATTCAGCTCCAGTGGGAAAGTGGACGACTCATACCACTAATGATTCCCCACCACCACCACTGTGCTTCAGCCATTTTTCTTTTGTTGAGAATAACTTTCAGCTCCCCAACACCCAAAAGTGATCTTATGATGAAACCATTTTTTTAAAATGGGGGGACTAGTTGAGGCATTGCATTTAAAGGGTAAAAACACAGGAAATGAGGATTCAGTGTTTCCTTCTCTCCTGCCCATGCCATGCTTGAAATCTATTCTCCCCACCTTCCTATGGGGGTCATGCAGACGGGCCTGAAAGAGTGGTGCAACTACATGAACCCAGTCCTGATCCGGGCCTCAAAAAGCAGCTCCTTTTTGTACCGGCTCTTCCAGGATGGGGCAGGCTCGGCATGGCTTCTGGCCACATTCAGGGCGTGTTTCGCGTGGATTCAGTTGCAAACCTGGTTTTAAGCAACCAACCTACTGTCATTACATCTAACTTCATGATGTTGGCAGGAGAAATATGTGAATTATGGTGTCCCTTTAAAATATGAGAAGTTCAGTTGCATCTCATTATATAGTTACTCTGGAAGATTTTTTTTCCCTTGTTTGTCTTTGTTTTTGGCTTGTGATACAGAACCCTTTTGAAGACTAACTAGCAAAAAACTGTTTCATTCCACTCTCCCTTGTAAGTATTAGTGTCAGAGTCATGCGTGCTTTTCTATTACTGGATTCCTATTCTAGGTGACAAAGTCATTTACCAAACATACACATGCACACATACTAGTGATGTAGGCTAAAGAACAAACAAATGGTGCCCAGTTTCCTGAAGTCACTTCCTGTTTTCATTCAACTCTTTAAAATCACTTCCTATTCCAATGCCATAGTCAGGAGTTCCTGACAAAATGATGACAGGAAAGAAAGATGCATGTTCTTTGTTGATCTCTTTCAGCTTGACTTAATGGCTGATGCCAAGAAATGGACTTTCTTCTGAAGTTATCATAATAATAAATAAATGGGTTTATATCCCATTATGTATGTTCTGTAAAAGTCAGTGTCACTCTGTTTGCAAACTGCTTATATCCTAGCTCCCTGTAGTAATGTCCCCCATTTTTTTTTTTTTTTTTTTTTGAGGGAGTGCCTATTGCCAACATTTTCTGCAGGGGAAAGTGGGGAATGGTGAATGATACTGAATGATTAACAAATAACTGTTCAAAGCAAAATGAACTGATGTGACAATCTAGACCAACTTGAGAATAAGTAGTGTGAACACACTGTTAAAAATGTTATACAATTTCATACCAAAGAGAAATGTAGCTAGAACATCATCTTCCTTCCCAGATGGGAGGTAGGAATAGTGAAAGTCCTGCATCTTTCCATTTTAAATGCCATTCATGCTGCCATTCTCATTCTTTATTAGACGGTCAGCAATTTGATAATCCAAGAAGCCAATGTTTCTGTCATGTACAAGTGTGTAGCCTCCAACAAAGTTGGTCGTGATGAACGGCTCATCTATTTCTACGTAACTAGTGAGTATCAACAAGCAAAGAGGCTCACTCTTTTGCCTCTATGTCTGCCATTTGTTAAAAGTCTAAACACCCTGAAAGTACCAGATCCAGTCTGTTCTTGGAAGCTAAGCAGGGTCAGCCATGGTTAGTATTTGGATGGGAGACTGAAAGAAATACCAGGTGCTGTAGGTTATATTTCAGAGGAAAGAACTGGCAAAACCATCTCTGAGTTTTTCTTGCCTAATAAAACCCTATACACATGCCATTTGGTCTACAGACATTTGGAGGATTCAAAGATTTGAAAAACCAACAAAAGTTCAGAAACAATTGAACTGAGCATGTTCATCCGATCATAATGTACTGTAGTCACAATCAAGCAACAATCTGTATCACTATATGTATTTATAATCACCCTAGAAGATGAGATACATACCACAAGAAGACATTGGTGACTTAATAGCAATGCATAGTCCTGAACTAAATTTTTAGCCATATTCATAATATATATTTTCCCACACTCAAGATCAGATTTACAATACATGAGTCTGGTCTCTGTTGTACATTATAGTACATTATAGTAGCAAAGAAAGAGATGTTCCAGAGTTAGAAGCTTATCACACAGTCAATTAACTTGCCTTACCTGATCCGGCTTAAATTTTAAATCGGGCTTTATTCAGAGCCTATCACAAGGATTTAGGGGCTCTGCAGACAGCGCAAAGCACCATCTTGGAGCCAAGGAAGGGAAGGGGCAGCTGGATGCCGGATGCCCCAACCCCTTCCCGAGGACGTCATCGGAGCGCCCACTGTTACACAGGCTGAAGCGGAAGAGACGTGGAAGAGCGTCTGTACCAAGCTCCAAAAAGGTGGATTGGGGCCAAGGTGTGGGGCAGCCTTGGCCCCAATCCTCCACTTCCCAGGGCACCCCACAACCGCCCATCTGCAAAGCCCTTTAGCCTCCGAAATCACCACCCGGGTCCATCCTGGATCCATCCCTGTTCCCAGGGGCATGTTCGGTATGGCTTTTTTTGAAGCTGAGAGTTTTCCAGCTTGAGAAAATAGTCACGGGAGCGAGGATGGACCCGGGATGGACCCGGGCAGCAATTTTGGTGGCAAAACCCTTGCAATAGGGTCCGGATGCCACCCAATTTAAAATTTAAACCAGATCAGGTAAGGTGATTTAATTAACTGTGTGATAAGTTCCTTAGAAAACAGAAAACACAAGCTGAGTTCCCCCTCTTGTTTCCTGTAAGTGGAGAAATATGCACTATTTTAGCT